AAAAGTCAAAAATGTGAAATAAAATTTGTTCGAACAATAACAATGCTTTCGAAGAAAAAAAATAATATTGAAAATTTGTCGAGTATATACGCTTTGTACTTGATTAAGTTTTTCCCTCGATAGATTTTTGCAATTTTACACTCGAATATTTCGGAAAATGTTTTTTTTGTATTTCTTTATAAATATTTTCCATCGGTTGTACTTTTATCATATCGAACAAGGATTTTAATTTCTTTTCAAAGTAGGAAGGTTCGATCAAATGCATGATTACTCGGCACGTTTTTTCAACGATTTTTCTTCGAAAACAAAAAAGTTTTATTTGAACAAATTTAATTCTATATTTACGACTATACGTTTTTCATCTACAATAGAATCATATCCTGTTTGCTTGTACCAACAATTAAAGGACACCCTGTATACGATAAGTTATACGAAATTAACAAATTTCTATCGCTAACGAAAAGATATTTTTTTTCTCTTTCTATAATGTTATTTTTTTTTTCTTTTACTACTATCGTTGTGGCAGTGGACAAAGAAATGAAGCATCGAATGCGGACAGATTTCTAATGGAAATAATAAAAAAAATAGTTTGATTATGTTTTTTGTTCTTTTCTTCTTTTTGAATAAAAATTACTCACTCGTGTCGAGAGATATTTGATATTTAGATTATTTTAAAATCGATTTTACGAAATAATTTCATTCTAAGAAAGAAGCCCGAACGATTTGTTTCAATGATATGCCAATGAATGAATCAACCCTTTGAATGTATATATATTTTTTCCGTGTGTGTTATTCTCACTTAAAAGATCAATAATTATATTCGACGTACGAGAGTAGAAATGTTTTTAAACAATTCCGTATGTTTGAATATGAAAAATTCCATTAGTACTTCTCACAACACTGCATTCCGTGTGTGTGTGTGTGTATTAAGTTTGTTTAGGTGTAATAATCGCGTGTACTAAGGTATTTGTGTGTACGTGTGAGTGTTAGTGTAGATAAAGTGCAAGTTAAAGAGTGCTGGTCATTACAGTGGAACCAATCGATTATTTCGTCGACTTATATATTTTCTTTTTGTCCTCTTCTTCTTTTTTTGTATTATCATCGTTTTACGGAGGGTCCTTTGTAAAGAAATTGTTTTTTTTTTCTTCTTTTTTTTTCCACACATCGATAATATCTATCTCCTAAGTATATCGACTATCTTTAAATATTAACGCGCGAACGTCCATACAAACGATTATAACCTTCCTTTGTTTTTTCTTTTTTTTTTTGCTTTTTTTTTCAAGTGCATATCTAAGGTGTGAAATTTATCTTTTTTTTTTTTGCACTTTTTCACGAAGGACAATCGGTCGGTTACACTCGCGATTAGATGACCCACACTCTCTTAACATACTTCGACACTTCTAATCAGAGTAGGGCATATATTTGTTTATAAGTCTTTTGATTGCTTTAATAATCAGTTTAACAAAGTTTTTCACGTGATCTTAATCATTCATTTATAGATTTAAACAATCTCTCGTATCTTTTTATAAAATTTATCAATTACTCTACTTAATTGTTTAGACATAATTTTTCATTTGTAATAATAATAATAGTAATAATATCAAAAATTATTATAATTTTGTACAAAAAGAATAATACTAAACAATCACGAATCGTTATATTCGATTACTCGGTGGTAATGTTTTAATCGGTACAAATTTTTGTTTATTACAAGTAATGCCCAATTCTGTTGTAGTTTAATTTTTTTCAATTATTTCCTGCACGTGTACGTGTGTATCGCGCGAATGTGTATGTGGATGTGCGGGTAGCTTCCACTCTTTTTTTTCTTCATTTTTTCTTCATTTTTTCTATATGCTTTTAATTTATACACACGATTTTGTTGTCTCAAGATAATCCTTTCGCATCAATTGTTTTATGTTAATTTAATTATTTTTTATTCTATTTTTTTGTTATTTTTTTGTTATTATTTAAGAAAGAAACAGTTCATCAAACAGATCTTTTGTTGGATCGTTTTCGTAGATCACTTTTATAGGATTAAACTAATCATTTTACTTCCAATTATATTTACAATTATTAAATGCTAAAAGTTTCGTCGAATTTCTTTTCGAATGTAACAAATATTTATTATATTAATAATGTTTATTGTTTATTACAAAAAAAATAACCTATAGACTAATCGGATATTGTTAACGCGAATTTTCTGATTCGATAATCGTCACGTGACAGGTACACCAATTCTACCTACAACGATGAAACGTTTTTAATTTGTATATAGAATAAAAATTAGTTTTTCATTTTATGTAAAAACGAATATATGTTTTATTCATACGAATCGGTACGAAAGGTGCATCTCGCGATCATATAATAAACGCATAGCCGTACAATACACATATACATATGTATACACATATATATACATATGTATACATATATGTATGTTTTTCGATTTAAATTCGTTTACGAACTCATCAATTGCTATTTATAATCATTTTCATGTGTGTGACGTAGTACAATGTTTTTTAACTGTATTGCCGCCCCCGATTTTTTCGCAACTTCATAGTATTTTTCTTTTCGATTAATACCTATACGTTATTATTATTTATTATTATTATTAATTATTTATTATTATTATTATTATTATTATTATTATTATTATTAGTTATTATTCTTAATTATTATAATTAATTATTATTATTATTATTATTATTTTTCGTTTTATTTACTCCTCGAAAATTGTTCCTACAACAATTATCGACCATGACTCCAACAAATTCGCTTTTTTTGTTTCCCTCTTCATCCTATATCTTTATTTATTTTTTTATTTATTTATTTTATTTTATTTATTCAAGGGGGTGGGTGGGTAATATTTTATTATTTTATTTAATTTTTTTTTCTCTTCATCATTGATATCTTTTAAAGCTTTGTTTGGCACGTATAATTAGAATGTCATTCAGTACGGAAGAATTCGATTTAGCGCTCTGTTTTTTTTTCTTTCTTTTTTCTTTTTCTAATTCTTCATTCTTCATCGCTATCTAAACTAATTTATGTGTGTTTATTTATTTATCTTTTTTTTTTCGTCTTTTAAACACGTTCTTCGTCGTTTGCGCTTTTTTTTCTCATATTATTAATTCTTTTTTCTTCTTTTTCTTCCTTCCATCACGTTATTACATTTAAAACACTCATTTACAATGAATTATTTTACTTTTTTTTTCTCTCTTCTCTTTTCTGCGTAGTGTACATATGCCTGCATGCATGTATGTTATGTATGTTGTATATGTGTATGTACGTATGTGTGTGTTATGTATGTATGCAAGTAAATGTGTACTTCGGTATGTTTTATATTTCAATAGCTACGTTTTATTTTAAAAATGTACAACGATGAGTGGCGGTTTCTTGTTAATTCTCTCGATTTTTCTTCTTTCATTTCACCCATCTCTCTCTCTCTCTCTCTCTCTCTCTCTTTCTTTCTTTCTCTCTCACTTTTTCCTACGTATTTATTTATTTTGTAATTTATTCATTTATTTCATTAATTTCCTAAAGAAGAAGAAGAAGATGAAGAAAAAGAAGAAGAACAGTTTAGTTCACGCGTTATTTTGTTCTTATCTCTTCAATCTTCTTCCTTTGTTTATTCGCTCGGACTACGATATATCGTTTTATTTCTTTGTTGTTGCTTTTTTTCCATATATTATATATTATATTATATTTATGTATATAATATCTTTCGAGACTTAAATACTTTTTTTTGTGCGACTTAGCATTTTCATCCCGCTACTCTTTACCGGTCCACCAAAATTCTCTCTCTCTCTCTCTCTCTCTCTTTATCTATTTTTATTTATTTCTTTTTTTTTAATTTAATTCCTCAAGATTCTTGGAACACATATACGTTTGCTCGAGGACCAACTTTTTTTTATATTCATATATATATATTTCCTTAAACTTCTATTATTTTTCTTTTACTTTGTTTTTTTGGTTTAAACCGGACAAGATCAGCGGGACGTTTTGGACTGATTTTGGAATGAAATCAGTACCGTATATGTATATACTTATTTATATGTAAGTGTTTTTGTTTGTGTGTGTATGTGTTTGATTGGAATGTAACGTGCGCGCAATGGGTGTCTTACACGCGTTCAAATATTTGCGTGAATGTGTAAATGTGTTTATATGTGGTTCCCAATTTGTGGAAACACGCCTCGACAGGCGAAGGACAATTTGATTTTGAATAATTCGAGAATGATTTATTTAACAATGAATATTTGTTGCTTCTAAATTCTTTTGCCCTTTTTAAAAATATTTTTTTTGTTTCTTTCAAGAATGCCATGTTCTTTGGAAGCTCTTTTCAAATAAATTTCATTGCCTTTTTTTTAGGCTTTTATTCCGTGTAAATTGGAGTTCAATTTTTAGAATAATAAAGAATTCTTTGTTACAAGGGTAGTTTTTTTTCGGGGGATCAGGATTTTAAAGATTTTTTTTGGGAACTACTGGTTTACGGTTTAATATAACCTTTTGTGTAAATGTGTGCGTGTATAAGTGTATTTACGTTTAATAATTTGAATACCTTGCCTTTTTCGCACGGCACAAGGAGGTACTCTAATAAAGTGTAATTAAATGTCCATGGCAGTATCCACGATTAGCGTTACTTTCAAAACTCGGAAATCGTGCTGCGCAGTTACGTCCTTTTTTTTATTTTAATTAATTAATTAATTTTCTTATTTATTATCATTCAAGATTAGTTTATTTTTCGTTCGCTTTTTTTTGTTTCGGAGCCTTTTAAAATTTATTAAAGATAAATTTAGTATATACACAGAGATATACACACGAGTACGGTTTCTCTTTGTCAAAATTGTCTTATTTTATTTTTTGTTTGTTTGTGCGAGCATCTTTTAGTTCGCCGATGGTTCTTATATAAAAAAGTAAGAGAAAGAAGTTCCGAGTACATTTTTTTTCCCTTTTCGTTAACTCATACGACTTATTTCTTTGTTTTTTTTCTCTCTATCTCCCTCTCTTTCTTTTTCTTTTTTTTCCGTATTTTAATTAATTCAAATCGTTGAAATTTTCGTAAAGGATTTTTTTCGTAAGGCTCGAGAAAAGGCAACACCATAAGGGACTCCGAAATTAGCGAGCAGCTCGATTTCCTTGTTCGACTTCGTGCGCTCAAAGAGAAACAACACGTACAATAAAAAAAGATCCTCTTTTTTTTCGCGGACTAGTTACTCGGTATGGGCTGGGGGTAAAAGGTTTATATGAATTGAAAAGGATGGATTTTCCGGATAGGGTTTGGGGAAAGAGGGGGGAAGGGGAGAATAATAAGAACGGTACGGTGCTTCGATGTAAAACTCTCTTTCTTTCTTTCTTATCCTTTTCTTTCCTATTTTTTTTTTTTTTTGGAAAAAAAGAAAGAAATTCGAACGAGTGGTAATAATAAGAAGGATGGAATTTTTTGGAGAGAAGTTTTAGGGGAATGGGGAATAAGGAAAGGTGGGTGGGAAGGGGAGATTGGAATAGGTTTATCTTTTTCTTTCTACTTTGGTTGTTTTTGAATTATTTTCTAGGAGGGAAGTTGTTTTTTAGTTGTTGTTGTTGTTGTTGTCGAAGCACTCGTATTTACTGACATCATCCTCTATCGACCGCAGTTCTGTTTCTACTGTGCCACTTGCACTCGAGGATTCTCATATAGGTCCTCCTAAAGGCCGCGTTACCCAAAGCGTAGCACATTGGATTCACAGTACTGTTGATGTAACAAAGGTAATAGACAAAGTCCCACAATTGTTGTGGTATATACCAGGAACAGGCGGTGATTGATTTAAGGAGAACGAGTATGTTATACGGTGTCCACGTTATTATGAACGCTAAAAGAATAGCAGATAATGTTTTAGCTGCTTTACTGTCTGCCTTTTTCTCTTGAATTTTTTTCTTCTTCTTTTGATTTGGTTTATTCTTGTTCAATATACCCTTACTGGTAGGTACTGTCTTTGGTATATTTTTAGCGTTCAATGGTATCCTTATATCCGGCATCTGCGAGGGTCGCCTAATCACCGACGAAGGACTTGCCAATGTCTCCTCATCTTCGATTGTACTGTGCAACTGAAATGTCACCGTATCCTCGTGGTACATCTTTATACTTGGCCGTACCTCGGTGTATTTGCTACCGCCATTACTCTCCCTCATTGGAAGATTTATCACGATCGTGTAGACCTATGATTGAATCAAAATTATACGACTATATTAATGTTATTATATTATATTTTTTCAAATATTTTTATATATATTATATTGTTAGAGATTAATAGACGTTTATGCAACAGTCCCGTATAGGATGTGTTTCCCCATGCGACAATACCGAGATGTACAAGAGGAATTTATATGAAATGATACTTGCATAAGTGAGTAAAGATTAAAGTACAATGATTTGGTTTGCATCTATCAAAATGTTATCTATGAAAACTGGATAAAATGGTTTATATTAAACGGTACAATTTCCTTCTTATCGATTATCTACAATTATTTATTTCAAATCGGTAAGAGAAGATATATTTGTTATTTTTGTTTTCTAAGTTAATTCGCTAAGAAATTTATTTCTTATCTAATAAAAGAAAGCTTTATTTTCTCTATTAAATTTGTTATGGCCAATCTTTATTTAGTTTTCTTTTACGTACTAGATAAGAATACGATTTATCTTGGAGTTTATTTCTCGCAAATGGTTTGTTTTAAAGGAAAAAACAAAACAAACAATAAAAAGAAAAACAAAAAAGGAAAATAGAAAGGAAAAAGAAGACTCGAAGGAAAAGTCGGTAAGAAAAATTTATTAGAATGCTAAGGACGCTGATCGATCGTTATTAGCTTAAACATTTTTATCGGAAACTCGAGAGTACCTTCCCTTGGTCGCGTCCCATCGCAAATATTCAATATTACGATGAAGGCAACTACGATGTTGCGAGAGAGAAAGAGATAGAGAGAGGACTTGTTTTAGCACTTAAATTAAGCTACGAACGAGAAGTTAATAATCCGTTTCGATCGATAATCGTCTAAGTAAACAGATTCGTTGGTCAACATATTCGTAAACGGACGAATCGTCGTTTAATAGACCGTTAATAGTCTAATAAATTTATACATCAATTAGATTCCCACTTGGACAGATAATTAACAGATCGATGCTTGACTACACTCTAAGAGACTATTGGATATTATGTCCAATATATATTTTTTTGTTCATATTAATCGTGTAATATTTTGTTTGTTCGAATAATTCCGATATTAACAAATTTCTTTTACGAAGGATAAGTAGTTTCCGTTTAAATTATCATTCAGGTTGACAAAAAAAGTAAATAATCGTTTATTTCAATGATTTAATAATTTTCTCAAAAAAAAAAAAAAATAAAAATAAAAAAATTATATAAACGAATGAAATATAACAAGGAAAGAGTAAAGATTTTTTTACCGAATGTAGGATTCCAAAAAAGATTTTTATTTTTTATTTGCCATTTGTTTTTATTTATGATTGTTAAAAAGAAAAAAGAAAACAAAAAAATGTATGTTATATGTGAGAGGATTTAATGATATATTTTCATGTATGTATAAAGTCGAACAGGGAACACGTATTATTATTATTTTTGTAATTAATTTATCAATAATATATTGTATATATGAATAGAAGTTTATTTCCTTAAAAAAAAAAACTTATCATCCAAATGATCAAAATTCTTATTTTGTTATTTGTTAGAAATGATTTCGGAAGAAAACTGTATTAGAAAGAAAGAATTCTCCAGGTGTATTATGAAAAATCAAAATATATAAATCGATCGATGATAATTGAGAAAAAAAAAGAAAAAAACATACGGAATCGCTAGAGATGCTTTTGGTCGAAAGTTCCCCGACACGGGCGGACCTTTTTGAATCCGCGTGTTCAGTGATGCCAGTCGACCTTTCCATAGCCAATGTCGTCGTCGTCGAATGCATGCCACTGAGCGAACCACATCTCGAAACCGTGCTAGTCAATGGGGTTTCCGCTGATAGTGGCGTCAATGTGTCCTCGTTACCATGAAGGGTACGACTGCTTTCCGGTTCACCGACCTCTTCGTCATCCTCTTCATCTTCGCGACCACTGTGCCACCACGCGATGCACCATAATTTCAGCCACGTCCACGAAAATGGCCTGTGTTTCTGGATAATTAGAATTTTGCATTATTTCTTGCTCACACGAATTCATACCAATAAATTTCATAAACATAATAAAGTGTTACATACATAATATAATGTATTATTATTTAAATTATTATTATTAAAAATTGCCCGAAGTAATGTGCACAACAGTCCCGGACTGGTTCGGAGACAGACGAAGTCAACTAACTGACTTGTTCATAAAATATGTATATTATTATTAAAAATTACTATTAGGGATATTTCAGAATAATTTTTTGTGAATATTTTCGCTGATTCGAAATAAAAAATCAAGGAGACTTGTGAGAAAATAAAAAAAGAAAAAAAAATAGGAAATAAATGTTTTTGTTTTCATAATACGATCGATTAAAAATAACCGGTTTTTTAATTTGAAATACAAATTATGCCTTCTATTCTTTTATCTCGCTATAATTTTACTCGACTTTAATTATAATGGACAAAAAATAAAAAAGAAATGTTTAATTTATTACATCATCCAGAAGAAAAATGAGGATTATCATAATATTCTATGAAAAAAAAAAAAAAAATTAAATAACAATAAATTATTCTATATAACAATCTAATTGTTTCAAAATAAATTTGTTGACAATACTCAGGAACATAATGACGATAATTGATGTAGACCATTAATTATAACAATAATTAATTAAAATCGATCCGAATGGATATTGTAAAAAAAAAAAGTAAAATAAAAACAAAAACAAGTTAGCAATTTTTGGGAATGCTCGAGGGGATGAAATAGTGAAAAAAAAGTATTCCCGTAAAAATCAAAAAGAAAAATGTAAAATTGGTCGTCTAGTTTTTACCAGATGAAAATAGATTAATTTTTATCGTGAAATCCGAAAGGGATTGGCTACAATGTGGCATAATAGTCGAGATGACGTTAATTCCGAGATCGTTGTAACAGAGTTCCCGGCGTGGTCCTTAATAGGATTTGAACCGTGATAGACATGAAGTTCACACAATCGGGGTCACTTTCACCAAACACGAAGAGCTTTCATCTAACTTCTACGAATGTTCTTGTTGTATTTGTCGATGACTAAAGAATTGCAAGGGCATTAAAAAGAAATTATCGAAAATTTGTCCATTTTTTTTCTTTCAATCGACAAATATACAGCAACACGATTTCTTTATTTCTTTTTATTTCGTTGTATGACTAATTTATTTATGTGTAAATTTATGTATGTATGTGTGTATGTGTTCTGTATGTGTATAGCAGGTACGTGTTCCTTTAATTTAGAAGTCTTTTTTTCTGGGTGGGGCCGGTCATTATAGTGTGCGCCTGTGCAACCCTCCTAGTGCACAGGACACACCATGCGCCGTACTTTACTATGACTATGCATTCGACGATTTACGATATGATTTAACTATTAATTCTTTAACTGTTTTAATTGCTATGACCTAAGACTTGAATGATATATTCTATTCGTAAAAAAAAAAAAAGAAAATAATAATAATAAAGTAACGAGACAAAGGAAGTCAAAGTAATATAACCTCAATTTATTTATAATCATTTATAATAAATGAAGATAATTCGAATCGTACGTATAATATCATTGAAAATTTTAGATTATTTAGTTAAAAATAAAATATTTTTTTTTGTTTTAACTATGATCATTATAATTATTAAAATTGGTTAATTTTCACATTTCAATTATTAGAAAAAATTTCTCATTTTATTGTTTTTGAAATATTTTTTTCTAAGATTTTTTTTTAACAGATAAGAGAGAGAAAATAAGGAAAATTATATGCTTACACCAGCGTATTCAGGATAATGTTTCTCGATGTAAGAAGCAGCTAGATGTTGAGCGTGTACGTCATCAGCACCTGTACTAGACTCACTTCGAGGTCTCTTGCATTCTTCCATATCTAAGGCCTCGTCACTAAGCAGATATATTTCAAAAACTTATATAGTTCGATTTGATAAACTATACTGTCATTTTATAATTGCATTAGACACCATATATTAGATGAATGGCTTTGTGGATATTATAATTTTATAATTATTAAAAAAATTATGAAAGAATATTTTGTAAATATCAAATTGAAAAGAAAATTATTCATCCGAAATAATTTTATTGATTTGATTTTTTTTTTTTTTAAACAATTAAAAAGTAAGAATTATTTTACAAGTTGATATGTTTCAAGTGAAAAGTAGAATTAATGTTTAATATTTCGTAGAAAATGGAACTTAAATGAAATATTGCATAGATATTTTAAATTATGCAAGGATCCATTGTTACTTGGATTAATTTTATATCGTTCATTATCTAACGATAAAATACGAATAAAAATGTTTCATTTATGTACATACGTATATTTTATAATTACATTCAAATCAATACGAGTGAAATAATATATTTTGTATAATAAATATATTTATTAAGATATTTAACGCACGGATCAACTTGCCCTGGGGTCAAACGAATTGATTAATTTTGAAATCATTAAATAAACATTAATCGAATTTATTTTTTATACAAATATTTTCAGATAAAAATTTTCCCAAAATATGTATATTTCAAAATATTTTTGATCAAACAATTTAATTGGACAAAATTAAAAACTGAAAAATATATCAACTCGACCCCAGGTCAGCCAATTTTATCCAATGAAAAATAAATTGTGGAAATATTAAAATCATAATAAAAAAAAAGGAAATTTTATTTTCAACTATAATTTTGATCTCATTCTATTTGTTCATTTTCGATCACGACCGAAAAGTATTCGAACGATATATAATTAATTCAATATTAGAAAAGTTAGATTAATATATGAAATGATTATATCGATCATGGAGAAGTGCCACAACAACCTGGAGTTGCTGCGTTTGCTTGCATCCTGTTTTCCAGCTTGAAGATTCGGTAAATCCCTCTGCCTTTTCTTCGTTTCCTTCCATATTCTCCAATAAAGGGCACTCATCACGGTGACTGGCACATAAAATGCAGCGATTGCTGTGCCGACTGTGATGTAATGATTCGTTTCGATGAACTGAATGTAACAGGCATTGATTGGCACAGTTCTTTGACCCTCGATGTAAGGCCAAGCATAAATCCAAGGTGGCCAAAGAAGTAAAGAAATACCCCACGCGCTTCCTAAACATTCAAATAAACAAAGGAAAGAAAAAGAAAGAAAGAGAAGAGAAGAGAAGAGAAGAGAAGAGAAGAGAAGAGAAGAGAAGAGAAGAGAAGAGAAGAGAAGAGAAGAGAAGAGAAGAGAAGA